CAACAAAAAAAACAAAAAAAAGGGGGGAGGGGGGGGGGGGGGGGGGGGGTGTTCTACCTTGTTAAGAAGAGACTTCTGACTAGTACGGAGTAGAAGGGCGGTAACTAATTCCAGAGTCATGTAGTTGACAGTTGGAAGCCTCTTCAGTATATTTCTCATCAGGTGTATGCTAGAGCGAGCATTTCTGATTTCATTATATAACTCAAAGGTTGTTAACGGCTCAGGAAGGCTTGCAATGTAACACTTCATAAGAGCTGCAACATCAACTGGATTTACACCCTCTGGGAGCGATGCATTTGGTTCTGAACATGCAAAAAGAAAAGAAAAAAAGTTGAAAATAAAAATAAATAAATAAAAACAAAAAACAAAAGCCAGACAAAAACAGTAAGTGGAGTGGTGCAAATAACATATAACGCTTGGTCAGCACAGATTTTTCCAAGGAAAAAATAATTTTTTTGGAAAGTGTGGTTAAAAAAGGGGGATTGGGGGTCCAATAGAATGCGTGGTTGAAATAATACTGGGGAAAAAGATTTTAAAATTGAATACTTATACAAGTACCTTGATTGTACAAGGAAACTAACTGCCGAATCACCTTTTTGTCTCCTGGGGCCTTGAACAACTCTTGTGAGTTCAGTCCTATCCATAAAAACATCAAGGTTACCCTCAACACCGAAATTGGTATTAAGTGATGTAAACCTCTGCGATTAAATGATTGTTTCTGTTTACATCATATCACCTGATAATACGAGATGATCTGCACACTTCACCAATATAAAAGGAACTGGCCTTGTGGACTCTTGGCGCTGGACAGTAATCTCAATTGGGACTCCAAATACTGAGGTGAACAAAAGATGTGACGGTCTATTAAAGTATTTAGCTATTATATTTCGAGACTGCAGATACTGTGATCTATTTAGATATAGAAAATGCTAGGTAATGCATTCTGTTAATAAAAGGCATTACTAGCAGCAACAACATATGATACAAGTGTTGAAGTTGTGCACCAAAAATGGTAAAACTACTTTTACATTCGACTGAAGCTAGTGATGATTAAAAAAAAAAAAAACACCCAAACAAAAAACTGACTCCAATTGAAATTCTTGGACTGTGATCTTAGTTAACAAGACAATCAAAGTAGGAAAAGGCCTACCATCAGTGCTTGCAACTCCCTGCAGAATGTAGAATTAGAAACTTTCAATTTCCAGCAACATAAATGGAAAAGAAAAGAATTTTCTTTTTAAGAAGCACATACTTTTTGCCATCGCTCAATATCAGTAAGGAGAATCTTGCTTTTTTGTGCAGTCTTCTTGGCTACCTGTACAACGATTATATCATGAATACACCTTCATCAATTTAAAGTAAAAAGGCTTATCTTCGTCTAGTATGAAACACAGTTCTGCATACTTTAATCATGTGTTAAGGCAGTAGAGAAGTGCTACAGAACAATGATGGCGGCAGCTATGTTCCTTTGCTATAAATCCAATCTAACCATTAGAACCTTTTATTCTCCTAAACTGTAAAATCTGTGAGATTATAAATTTCTGATGATACCCTGTTATTATACAAATTTATTATTCATATGGAAACTGGCATTGTTTCTCCATAGAATTACTAAACATAACATCAGTTCCAAATTTAGTTACAGTCTGTGACCTGAATAGTAAGTTTCTCTTATCAAGTCTCTCAAGAGTTAATTTGAGTCACAGGACAGACAGATAAGCATAGGATGAAAGACAAGTGGCCAAACCATGTAAAACAGAACAAGATGGCCAATGTCATGAATATCTGTGTAGAGAAAGCAGGTCAAGGAAGATGCCAATTTTATGACATTTGCTAATTCCTCTCAAATACACAGATTAGAGCACCTAACCTTCAGATAAAGGTCAACGGATCTTGTTCAAAAAGCCAAAAGGATATTAAATGTCTGGAAGGGACTTATAAGTTTCTATCCACCATAATCCCGTGGAGTCAGAAAACCCTTTAACAAAAACAACTAAATGATTCAACGGACTTTTTATGTCAAAGCAAACAAATTTATATACCCAATCTAATTACGGAACAAAAAGGGATACAATTGGATCAACCTAAATTCTTCTTCTTTATTTATTTTTTGTTGTTTTTCGACTTCCTTTCTTCTTCTCTAAGTCATAACAACAACAAGAAGCTAAGCCTTACAACATATAAACTTGGGGGTCGACATCGTTTTTCACCATCGTGCTTACGTAGAGTTATTTCTTCCAAAATCTCTGATACAATCAAATCATTTGCAAACACATTGGATAATTTTAATTTTGGTACATAATTCCTTCTTCTAACACATGCTATTGAGCAACGTCATTTTTTTATGGTTTGGAACTTCTTTAGGTTTAAGCAGAACGTGCATCAAATGTCAACTTGTCCTTCACTTAATTCATTCATTTACTGGCAATTGCACTAGTTTTTGTGCATTTTCATTTTCTACTTTACCTATTTATTAAAATACATTCTGAGTGACTTCCAATATCAAGTTCTCTATATGTATTACCTCTTCAACTTTTATCTTCCCGACAACAACCTTCTCTTTCGTCTCTGAAATTCCCCTCCGTAAAAAAATGCTGGTACTTGCAGCTGCAGAAATAAGCCTTTCCTGCATGGCATGTCTGGTAGATGGCTGTTGAAGAAGCGTCCACCGGCTCTTGACTACTGACCCAACTTTCCCTGCCACATCAGCAACATTTCCTTTTGCATCCTTCGCAACCTCCCCCACAAAAGTTCCAGCAGCTCCCCCTGCTTCTTTAAGCTTCACACCTGTGCACTAATAGTAGGGCATTAATTTATATTGCGGGCACCAAAAAATAAAAATAAAAAAATAAAACAAATACAAAACAAAACAACATACACAAATGATAAACGAGTTAGTTAAATCACTCATCACTAACATCTGGCTATGATTACTACTTGCTCACCCAAAAATAAAATGTTACTCATTGTTCGCTCACTTTTGTAAAAAGTTACCCATCCATCACTCGAGTTGTCTCCATCCTTCTATCTGGATAAAAAAAAAATACACGGGACGGATGAAAATCCTACGTGTCAACAAACGTCGTTAATTATTGACACCCAGACAAAAACAATTAATTGAACTAATGTTTTTCTTCATCCTTTAATGAAATTCCCGATTCGCTGAAGCAAATTCCAAATCAATACCTTCTCCACATTATCCCCAAACCATTTCGTCCAATGTGAAGCCCAAATTGAAACGATTTCTCATAGAACTCCAAATTAAGAAAACTCCAATTTCATAGAATCCTAGATTCCTCAACCAAAAAAAGACAGTGTAATCAAGCTCCACAAAAGTGCCTAATTCGTTCTTTGGTTCAAGGAAAAGAGGTGACCCACCAGACCTCCTAATGGCAGGCGTTGAAGAAGCAATTTTGGAGACAATAGAAGAGGGACTACAAGGAGGTAAATAACTTTAACATTTTTTGATGGAATGAAACTGTAAGTATGTACATGTTCTAGGCCGGTCACACTATCATTATTCATAGTTATAGCAAGACAGAGTTGCCTAAAATTTTATGTTACTTGATGTTCACCCATATGCTTATTTCTATATTTTATAGCCCTCTGTACAATTGTATACTCACGATGCTCCAATACTTAATTTGCAGATAATACATTTGAAGATGACGAAGTGTTACCCATTGAATGTCATTTGAATCACTTAGACAATGATATCAACGATGATGATTTTCAGTTTGACAATAATACAAGTGAACATATTTTGGTTGGATTGAATACAGACCCTAGCGTGGAACTTGCGGCTATTAAGGAAGAAAAGTTAGGATCAGATGATGGCTACTGCAAATGAAGAGGATTTGCACACAGATTATTCTTCCAATGAAGAAAACACTTCTCATTTCCCGGTTTATGATCCAGAGAAGGAGAAGTTAGATTCTCGGCTCGAGGTTGGAAAACAGTTTTAAAATATAGAGGAATTTAGGCGAGCAATTTGGAACCACGGGGTAGCAACCAGGTGCAACTTTAAGTTTAGGCCAAATGATGAGTTCAGAGCCTAGACCATTTGTAAATTAGGCAGCACATGGAGGATATGGGCATCATGGAATAAAAAAAGGGTGCGTGCAAATAAAATCTAAAAACTCAAAACATACATGTAGGAGGGATGGAACAAATAGTATTGCACCACCAAATATATAGCGAAGAGATATTTAGAAACCTTTAAAGTTGACCCTGATTGGAAGTCTAAGCTAATTATGAAGGCGGTAAAGGATTATTTCAAGTTGACAATCAATAAAGTTACAGCGTGGAGGAATAGAAGATATGTCAGGGCAATGATATAGGGATCTGATGAGCATCAGTTTGGATTGCTTAGGTTTTTTGCTGCTGGAATTTTGAGAACTAATTTGGGATTTACATGCATTGTTGCCGTACATGCTTCAAAGTTTCAAGGAATATGTGTGTGTGTTTAGAAGCTTGCAAGAGAGGGTTTTTGGCCGGTTGTAGGCAACCTTTTAGGGTTTGATGGGTGTTTCTTGAAAGGGAAATTTGGAGGGCAATTGCTTATAACAGTGGCATTAGATTGCATTTACCCAGTAGCATATGCTATAGTAGAGAAAACGGATGCTACTACATGAAAGTGGTTTATACAACATTTGGGTGAAGAAAGTCATAGGGCCTTTATTTCCTAAAGTGCAACAGAAGCTAATGATGTCCATTGAGTTAGCAGAGAGATGTGAGGTTGATTGGTCTGGATAGACACAATCTTATGTGAAATGTGCGATTGGAGAATATGTTGTTGATCTATTGAACAAGATATGTGCATGTCGGAGATGGGATTTATCAGGGATTCCTTGTGCTCCTGTAGTTGCTTCTATTTTAGATAAAAGAGATGAGCCTCGGAAGAATGTACATGAGTGTTATAGAGTGAGCACATATATGAGTTGTTTCGAGAATATAATCAATCCTATCAACGGGACAAAATTATGGCCTCAAGTAGATACTCCCCCAGTGAAACTACCCAAATGGTTTTTGCCTAAAAGCAGAAGAAAACAAAGGAAGAGACGAAGACGGGAAGAAGAAGATGTTTTAACTCGTTCCGAGTCCAAAGTAAAGTTGAATAAGAAGGGTACTATAATGATTACTTGTAGTGTCAGGCCACAACAAGAGACATCATAATAAAAAATAATAAAAAATTAAAATTAAAAAATTAAAAAAAAAGTATCGTCAAAAAACTAATGCACCACAAGAGGTTAGTTTATAGTAAATTCTATATTGTGTTTTTAAATTATTTTCCAGACGATATAAACAATTGATCTTCGTTTAAATGGTTGTTACAGGATTGGTATTATGGGACTACAGATCCTATAAATGAAAAAAGCTCCAACCATGTTCAAAGTGAGAGCTTAAGGGTAACCAAGTTCATCCCAATATCTTCCATTAATAAATATGTGAAATGATCTTTGTAATCATATATGATGACTAATACAGGCAAAACATGTGCCTAGGAGACCATCGAGTATGCCAGTATCTGAAGTGCAACCACCAGAATCAACATCTAATTTTCAATTCATACCAACCTCTAGAATTAGTGTAACTAGTAGAGCACAATTTACAAACTATGGTCCTACACTTAATGAGCTAGTCAGTTTGACAACGAGGGAAGCTCAACTTAACACTTTGGTGGAAGACTTGCAATTGATAGATAACCAAGAGAGAGAGAGAGAGAGAGGGCAGCCATAGCAAAAAACAAAAGGATTGTTCGAGGGTCAATTCCATTTGCAACTCCAAGGAAAAATACAGCAACTCGATAGTGTTATCATTTTGTTTCATGGGTGTATTTTGGGTTTTGAAGAAAACAAACAACAATGCACTAATGTAATTTTGTGATTAATTTCTATATTGTATAACAGTTGAATGGTGTGAAGTGAAAATTAATTTGGTGTAATGTTGAACTTGATCAGATGCAATTAGAATGAGATTTTGTTATTAAATTTTTGTTCTTATAATCATGTCTGAATTCCAATAGTATTTGTTGTTACTGCGTTAACGTTGAATACCAGTATTTTCTTTAAAATTTTAGTTTCACTTTCATTTGGATGTTATTGAAGTGAAGTGTGTATCATCATGAGCATAGTTCATCAGCAGTTTATGTATTCATGTGAATTGAAGTGGCTTTGTGTTCTTGTGCATCATCATAATCCCAGTTCACCAGCATTAGAAATTTCCTTTGATGATTTCACAACCATCAACATAAAACTAAACATAAATGTAACTAAGATGAACACAAAAGGAACACATTCAATTTAATACTGTAAAATACATCATGTTTACTTTGATGATTTTACAACCATCAACACTACTATACCTAACATTACAACCATCGAGCTGAAACAGCATACCACAAACATCCCTACACCATCCATATAACTTCAATCCACTCATCGTAATTATTGCATAACATTTGACCTGTGGATGAAGCAATTTATTACAGTCCTCAAGCGTGGATGCTCCACAACAAAGTAGTTTCAATTTGAGGGCAATTTCGATTCCCTTTTTTCTTGGGAAGGTGGTTTGGAAGGAGACATTGTTTCTTGATTTTGATGGAGACCAATTTGCAGGGGAGAACAAATCGATTCGCAGTCAATTTAGGGCTCAATGTGAAGAATTGAGAAAATTAATTTTGATTTAGGAAAGAGAAAAAAAAAAGGTTTCTTGCAAATTTAAAGGGAAAATGTTATCTCAATTATTTGTTTTTGTCCAAGTGTCAATAATTAACCGCGTTTGTTGACAAGTAGGATTTTCATCCACCACGTGTATTTGTTTATCCAGATAGACAGATGGAGACAACCCGGGTGATTGAAGGGTAACTTTTTGCAAAAGTGATTGAACGGATAGTAACCTTTGTTTTTGGATGAGCAAACAGTAACCAAAGTCAAATGTCAGTGGTGAGTGATTTAATTAACTCGATGACAAACACTCTATGTTGAATTTATCGAGTTGACTAGAAATTACCTGATGATTGAAAGAAATCACTAGCCTTCTCTTGCCACGGGGGAGAAACAGATGATGGCATTTGAAGTGGCACCAGATACTTATTTCAAATCAAAAAAAAATCTACTCGACCCTTTCCGGTATTGAGATGCAAAGAAAACAGCAAATAAGGATAATAATCATGAACAGAACTCAATTTCATCTATAAGCATTCTAGTATCAAACGACAATAATTCAAGATAATACCAGATACTCCTCTCTCAAAAAATTAAGCTTAAAGTAAAAAAATTCATGGCAATTTTTTCTTGATTATATATTATTGCAACTCAACACGAGGTAATGACACAAACTGTGACAAAATTCTTAACAAGTTAAATTACCCCAAACCTGTCTTAGTTAACGGACAGCTCTTACAAAAAGATCAAAAATCCAGATAAAATTAACAGAAAATATCCAAGTATCAATCAGATAACTTTGGTAAGTCTCATGATTTTATAAAAAATTAAATTAATATAAGAAATTCAAGTTCTTGCAGTATATATCAAAATTCTTACTGTCGCAAAAGTAATTCCAACTTTCGGTTGAATATTGATTGAAAAAATAAATAAATAAATAAAAAGCCAATCAGATAACCTCTCTAAATCTCGTGATCTCTTGCAAAATAAAATAAATATAAGGTAAAAGGGGAACTGAAGAATTTGTAAAACCTCCTACCCATTTTTACCTTATTAAGTTCTTCAATTTAAATAAAAATATGAACGATCAATTTTCCAAAAACTCCATAAGAAAGAGATTAGGGTTTTTACCTTTCAGTTGCGATGATCGAATTTGAAATCTTTGAAAATTGAAAGATGGAAAATGGAAAATAAAAATTCCTACGGCGGAGAAATAAAAAAGAGAGAGAAAAAAAAAGTTAAATTATTTTATTATTTATGATTTGGAGAAGTATCATAGGAAAGGAAGGCACTGCCGTTCTCTGTAAAGCCAATGATAATTCAACACATGGCACCGTCTTTGGAAACCATTTCTTGACTTGGCATGATGTTAACGGGTCCGCGCCCATTTCGTCGTTTGAATTTTTCCATGTTTGCGAATGTCAACTTTGGTCTTATGAGCATGCGTGTTTATTTTTTTCTATTTATTTATTTATTTATTTATTTATTATTATTATTATTATTTTATGTTTGAAGGTATTAGGGCCAGTTTACGCGCACTTCGACTAATCACACCGGATCTTAAAATTTACAGTCAGATACTCACCTCAGTGACTTTGAAAGGACTCGAACTGATGATCATAAGGAAGCAAACCAAAAGTCTTACCACTAAATTTTTTTTTCTTTTTATATTTGACATATTAGATTCTTATTGGGTGAAAATTAAAATTAAATTTTTAGTAAATTTTGATAAAAGTCGATGAAATGTGTGATTGAAAAATTATGAATTTTATAAAATATGTTGTTGGAATCAATTGGTTACTTTGATTTGAATTAAAATTTAGATTTTAATTTCCCAAACAAGTGCATTTTAAAATTGAAGATATTTTATGTATTAAAATATTAATATATCAATTTATGAAACAGAGTAGGGCTGTAAGCAAAAATCGCAAAATCGGAAAATCGAACCGAAATCGCATTTTAGAAACCGTCGGTTTGGTGCCACGTGGACCCGGTCAACGAAATGGTTTTGACCCAAACCAAACCGGTCAAAATGGTTTGGTTTAGGTTTGAGAATTTTAATTACGGTTTAAAACCAAACCGGACCGGTGAAAAAATATATAAAAATAAAAAAATGAAAATTTTTGAAAATTCATCCAAATATGTAAAATTCAATAATTTTGTCATTTGTGGGTATTTTTGTCAATTCCTAATTTTCTAATACAGATATATTATTATTATTATCATCATCATCATCATCATCCAATAATCCTAATATATATTTAATAATTTTAAGACTAACATAATCTATCAAATACCTTTTTCCTCTTCAAAATTTAGACGAACTCCAGTCGACACCCAACACAGTTTTGAGCCACCGGCACCACACACTTCTTTTCAGATTTTTCACGCATCTTCAAAGTCAAATTGAAGTCTATTATACCAAATCGAAGACAAAGAGATTCTAGACCTTCGGTGATAATATTTGCTACAAATAAAGTTTCAGATCAATAATTTTTTTGGAGCAAACTAAGTTAAGAATTTGAAATTAAATGTGTTTCATAACATCATACAAACGTAAACTTGTGTAATTGTTATGTTTAGATACTATAAACAATTGCTTTATTATTGTAGTTGGTTATTCTCTTTGTTTAATCAATATCTTTTTTCAGATATAATAATCACGAGGTCTTGTTAGACATCGTTATTTTTTTGACCTTATATCTAGTTTAGTAGACTTGTATTGTAACGTTATTTTATCGTCATTAACCTAAAAAAGGTGAACAAAAATGAAAAAAAAAACTATGTTTTAGTTTATTGTGATTTCACTTTGATTTAGTTAATATTTAAATTTATAGTAGATATATTTAGTCTCTGTTTGAGCCATATTTTTCATATCATCATAATGAGAAAATTGACTATTGGAGAGGAAGTTGGGTCCCACACATGAAATAGCAGGTTAACAAAGACGGCTGGACTTGTAGAATAACAATCCAAATTTTCATTTTTTTATCCCAAAAATTTGATTCAAATAGGGGTTAGTTTGTTTTAGATTTATTACTAGTGAGATATAAATATATATTAAATTCAATGAACTAATGACATAACAGTAGACGAGCAAAAAATATATGGCGAAACTGGCGGTTTAAAATCGGACCAAACCGTTAGTTTTAGGTTTGAGTTTTTTTCAAACCGTTCAAAATGGTTTGGTTTAGGTTTGGGTTTTTCTCAAACCGTTTTAAACGGTTTGGTTTGAAAATTTGTCAAAAACCGGTAAAATCGGACCGCTTACACCCCTAAAACAGAGTAAATAAGTTTCTAACCTTGATGGTGACGTAATATTTTTTTAATGGGTCATTCACTTTGAATTGTCTAAAAATAAAGAAACAGTTTTGTTATAGATACAACTTCGTTGGTTAATAGTGTGTAAAGTTGCTAACATTTTTTTCATTGATTTTAATAGTACATAGAATAATTAATGACACAAATTTTTATACCTTATTAAATATCAACAAAGACGAGAAAATCAATAAATGAGGAAAAAAAAAATCAATCATATGAAACAATAATTATTGGTTTGTAACAAGACCTGCATCATTGCATCAATCAACAGGTTCACTCAATATCTAAATAAAGTGCTACATTTGGAAGCCCCCGGGCACATCCGAGTTGGTGGATCAATCACCTTTGGCGCGCTCGCAACCTCAGCGTGGAGAGTTCGATTTCTGGTGGGAACCTGTGATCCAATAAATGGGCAATTTATTAGTGGATCAATCACTATGGAGGAAAGCTCTCTTGAGGCCAGGAGTTTAGACCGGGTGGGAACCTGTGATCCAATAAGGACACAACATGCGGTTTACCTCTGTTAGTGAGGGGCCGGTGGCTAGGGGTCCAGGATTTAGTCTGGCGAAGTTGGGACACCTGGGTATCAAAAAAAAAAGTGCTACATTTGGAGCCCCCGGAGCACAACTCAACTGGTGGATCAATCAACATTGCCTTGCTTCCAGCTACAGGGTGGAGAGTTCGATTCCTGGTGGGAATCTGTGGCCGGTATAGAACAATTACTGTGGTGGAGGATCTCTTGTACGCAAAAGTGTACAGTCAATGGGGGGAACCTGTGATCCAGTTGAGACATATCCCGCGATTTACCCCCTCTAAGGTTCTAGGGGCATGGGTTTTGGAGGTCCAGGATTTATTCTGGTGTAAATTGGGATACCTGGATATCAAAAAAAAAAAAAATGGTGCTACATTTGGAACATCTTCTTCCCTCACTTTATTCCCTTTCAAATTTCCCTCCTCATACACCAACTCCTCCGTCCAACATTTCAGGTTCACTTTGTTTCTCTCTAACCATTTCAAAGTGAACCTTACTTTGATATCATATTGCCCGAGTTCGACATGAACATTCTTGGCATGAAAACCAGTGAAAACACTTGCTGAGAAAATAATGCTCCCCTTCTTGCCCCAGATTATCGCTCCGCAGCATGTTTCACTCGATGGAATGAGACAAGGTTCTATCATAATCCATACAATCATAAAGTACGTACATACCAAAACCAATTCAAATTTTAAATAGAAATCACCTAACCAATTTCTTTCATAAACATCATAACCCCAAGTTTAAACTCAAGCTAAATTAACGAATTTTTCATTCCTGTTTTCAAGATTGTATAAAATAAAAACTAGAACCATCAAAAATCACACGAATCTTAACCAAAAGATAGCAAAATATATCCATACTGTATATCTACTATACATTAAAGAGTTGTTATATCGCCACCACATTTTAATTGAAGTTAAACTCATCAATCTTTACTTATTGCAGCATTTATTTTCTTAACTATTTTTACCAAATATTTATCTTCAACCTTCTATTAATTAGTATATCAAATAATTTATTTTCATGTTTTGAAATAAGGGAAAATATTTTTTCGTGTATTTTATTTATTAACTTTTTTAAAAATATGAATGAAAAATAAGTTAGTTTACGCATGTCAAAGGACTATTGAACATAACATTGTTATTAAATACAAAATATGTTAACTAATGAAAATCTTAAGAATAAAAATGACACTAAAAATTCTTAGAACATAAGTGATATAATGAGCAAAGATTAAAAATCTTAAGTGCAATTAAAATGTGGTGTAAGAAATAAAAATTGTAGTGTACATATAACTATTACCCTACATTAAAATGGAGGACTGAGTAAAAACTTTTAAATACCCAATTTACCCTTATATATTTAGCTATATACCTAATATACCCTTATTTAATTTAGCTTTGTTAATAATTAATTAATAACATTAATTCTTTATATATTTAACTATATGCCTAATATACCCTTATTTAATTTTAGTTTTGTTAATAATTAATTAATAACATTAATTCAGTATATTCAACAAGAAATTTAAAAAAAAAGTTCTTTTCTTTTCCATGTGTCAATAATTCCCTAAATTAATCTTTTAATACATTAATTTTTATTAATAGCTTTCAGTATAAAAATATAACTTATATTTCTTTCCTCAATTGAATTATTCAATTTTAAAAAATAGAATCCATATTCACTAATTTAAATGGCCTTTTAATTTGGTTGTTTCACACATATCCTAACATCTAAATAAATATTTAATGTAATAAAATTAATGCATCAATTCATCAAAAATGACATTTTGCAACACATAAAAGGCAATATTTGTTAATTGAAAGTTGCTAAAGATTCCTATCGCAACATTCTAACAAATGAATTCTACCATTGTATATATAACTGAGGTATGGCAATATTTTTAAAATGTAAATTGTTAATGTCGTCTTTCTGTAACATTTATTGAGTGTTGCAGAATGCTAAACTTTTGGTGACATTTATTAAAAATTGCAAAAGAGAAACCTTTGGCAACATTTTGAGATTGTTGTTTATATGAAATAGGCTCACTTTTTGCAATATTTATTGAATGTT